CGGCTCCATCGACCAACTTCTTCAAGGACAAGGCTAGCTGCTACTCCGGTGGCGGCGAAGCAAATCAAGCCAGCACCTCGTGTGTTGGCGTCAAGGACAATCACTCGCGCTGCGGCGCAAAAGGTACCCAAGATACTTGCTAGAGCTCGAGCTGACTATAAGCAGAACGCGGATAGCAAGATCGGTAAGACGCGTATCCCGAGGCCCACGATTACGGCGGTGAAAGAGGCTAGTGTACGGAGGCAGTCGAGGCTTTGGGCGAGGATGACGAGTGTGGTTATTCGGCGTAAGATTACGGTACTCGCTGCCGAGACCACTACAGAGGCGGAAGATGATGAGGAAGAGTTATATGAGGAGGTCGAGAAGCCTACGATGGAGTTTGAAGAGCCGGCATCGGAGATCGATGAGCCCGCGGACGACGACATGGACAACACTTCGCTCATGTTCAACGACAACAGCTTCGACGACTCCGTCAGCCCTGAGCAGCAGACTTCCGCCATGAACCTCTTCGGACGGAAGATGGTCAGTATGAAACGGCTCGGTATGGGGCTGCGCACAAATCGGGATTGGTTCGTTGGACTGTCTCGCTGCCCTGACTACACCGGTGATTCGGTTGGTCTAGAGCGCGTGCGACCAAGGACTGCGGTGACGACTGAGTCTCATCTGACACAGGACGCCAGTGAAGGAGGTAAGTTCATTGAGTTCGAATCGTTTTCGCAACTAACGGCTTCCAGTTTTAGCTTTTGTCGAAAGGCCACATTCGGCGAAGGCTCCAGCTTCACGGCTGCCTGTTGTCAAGCCAAAATCTGTTGTTGTCTCCCAGAAGACTACGAAACGACAGATGACTACCTCGAAGACAACGTCAACATCATCATCGAATCGCGACGCCACGGCGTTAAAGCCACGCAAGCCGGTCGCTCCGGTGGTAGCTCTGCGCAAGACTCCGAACAAGCCAACCACTGTTGCCAAGTCGCTCCCGAAGCGGAACTTGGCTCCAGTTTCGTTGTCGAAGCGCAGAGTCAGCCGTGCGAACACGAAGAGGTCTGCAAGGAAGCCAGATGCACAGGCATCACGCAAGGCCAAGACTGTACTGAAGTCTGCCATGCGCAAGCCCAACTCCCAGGCCGTCAAGAAGCACGTTTACTACGTTGAGGGACCCATCGCGCCACGCTTCTACGACGTAGAAGAGACCGTCAAGCAGTCCGCTACTGCAGTTGATGGGTCCACAGCGTCCTTTTCCTGGGAGCCACCGACGGGCCTTCTCCACTCTCAGCCACCCTCGCCAGGCAGAGGTGCAACTCAACTCTTTGAAGGCTCCAACAGTGGCGCTCTGACCATCAAGCGACGCTTCCTCAACCGCTACGCCAGCGTCCAGCGGTACGAGGCGCGCCGCCGCCAAGAAGCGTTGGCTCGCAGCGAGCGACCAGCGCTGGGTCAGCTTGACTACGGCAACGCAGACTTCAGGATCGCCTTGCAGGCCTCCAATGTCATCACCGCAGATGACATTGGCATGATGCAGGATCTGAGCAACATCGGCAAGGCTGGCAAGTTGTGGTGCGGTAATCGGGCGATGGAAACACCGGTGCTGGTTTTCGGGTCGTTCAAGGAGCCGTTCGAAGATGCGGCTATCCCGGCGAAGGGTGTCAAGGCGTACAAGAAGCCTTTGCGATGGCCGACCACTGGGGTTGAGTCACGGTTAGAGAAGTTTGCGGACGAGCACCTGAAATGTCTTCAAGGTGCCGATTTGGTGATCTGAGAGATGGGCCTATTGGAGGTAAGAGACTTCCAAAGCGGTTCTACATTCTTCGCTAACGACGATTATCAAGGCTTTGGTTGCGGACGAGAAAGGAGCGCTATGCAAGAGATGGAATGAGATGATGGGAAGATTGATGGAGGTCCGGTAAGATAGGTGGGTTTACGCTAACGATCACCAGCCCGTAACAAAGCCGGGGCGTCCTTTTCGACAGGGCGGGGCGAGTGGTGGGACCCCGCATTTATCGCGAACGCTATTACGACTTGGAAACCGATGCAGTGGGACGCGAGCGTCTGGGTGGAGGTGCGGCAGACTCGCACAGGTGTGATAACGGTTCTGTTGGCTTTGATGTTGGAGGATTGCGTTTGGGCGATTTTCACATTTTGTATACCGTTCTTGTTTGCTTACTACTCATTCTTCTTTTCGTCGTAGCGCAATGCACTATACATGTTCATCTTCCTCTACGTACGAACCTGTTCTGAAGTCCGGGGCTTCCAGGATCCAGGTCTTGGGGATTTCGGAGTTGGCATGCCGCATCTGGCCCGTTACCGGTATCATCATCACCGTCATCGGTCCGCCCATTTTCCCGTTAGTATGAACTCGACTATGGATAGCTCGGCTCCCAGGGAACTGTAGTCGCTCCTCTAAGCGCCAGTTGAATTGGTTTATCAACACCCCAAGCCCACGTGTTGACGGCAATGTCATCGAATTCATGCAGAAGGCAACGCCGAGTTCCAGGTCTCCGTGCAACGTTCCTGCGTCCTGTAAGCCCACGTCGCACGTGTGTTGCTCATTGGTGAATTGTTATCAGGCACAGCAATGCGCCAAACCTCAAGAGGCAGTTGCCGAGAATTAAGCACGGCCACCGCCAAGGTCGCCAAGGCTGAAATGCCGTGACTGCAGCTACTGAGGCGGCGGCGTCCGCTTTGTTTGCGTGGTACAAATAGTGACAGGCTGCCAGAAAGGAGGCTTACTGTCGTGCTCGTGCCTCTTCTCACCAACTCCACCAAGCCCAGTCGGAGTGAAGATGAAGTTCGCCACTGGATCTAGCGCGTCACTTATCGCCGTCTCGGCGCTGACGGCGATCGCTCAAGCAGAAGACGCGCTGTACAGCAAGCGTATGGTGAAGCGAGGTATCGATGCGGATGGAAACTACAACATCTGTAAGTCAGCATGTGTTGACTCCAACATTGCTTCTGCTCACGTGATTCAGCATTCTTCCACATCAACGACGTGCATGCCCACCTTGATGAGTTCAGCTCCTCAGGAACCGACTGCACCAGGCCCGAGCGCGGCTGCTATGGTGGTTACGCGCGTGTGAAGACCGTCATCGAGGAGCAACGCCCCAACTACGAGGACAGTCTTTTCTTGAACGCCGGTGATGAGTTCCAGGGCACTCTGTTCTACGGCTACTACGGCGGTGAGAAAATTGCGGAGACTCTGAACCAGCTCGGATTTGATGCCATGACTCTCGGCAACCACGAGTTTGATGGCGGTGATGCGGCGCTCGGAGAATTCCTGGTCAACCTCACATTCCCCATCGTCAGCGCGAACGTGCATTCCGAAGACGAGAACGTCAACAAGACTGTCAAGCCATACACCATCTTCGAGGAGCACGGCTTGGCGCTGATCGGTGTCACTGCGGAGGAGACTGGCAGTCTCAGCAACGCCGATGTTACCACCGTCTTCTCCAACACCGTTGAGGCCGTCCAAGGTGCCATCGATGAGATCAAGGCCACTACCAACATCACCAGGATCGCTGCTCTCACTCACATTGGCTACGACAAAGATCAGGAGCTGGCCAAGGCTACTACTGGTCTCCAGCTCATCATGGGTGGCCATAGCCACACCCTTCTCGGTGACATGGAAGATGCTGAAGGCAAATACCCAACCATTGTTGAGAACCAAGATGGCGACGAGGTCTTCATCGTTACTGCCTACCGTTGGGGTGAGTACCTCGGCTACATCGATGTTACCTACGACCCCCAGGGCAAGATCCTTGCTTACCATGGCGCTCCGATCCACCTCACCAACACTACCGAGCAGGATGAGGACCTCCAAGAGCAGATCGAGGAGTGGCGCATCCCCTTCGAGGAGTTCGCTGCTGAGGTGCTTGGTACCAGCGAAGTAGAGCTCGACCAGACGACCTGCCAACAACAAGAGTGTCTGCTCGGTGACTTCATGGCTGATGCTATGCTCGCCTACCGCAAGAACAACACCGATGACGTCGACTTTGCTCTCATCAACGCTGGTGGTATCCGTGCCACCATTGATCAGGGTGACATCACCCGCGGCGAAGTCTTGACCTCGTTCCCCTTTGGTAATGCTATTGTTCAGGTCGAAATCGATGGCAAGACCCTCTGGGAGTCTTTAGAGGGTATCGTGACCGGTGTCAACGTCGGCAATGGCAGGGAAGTCACCTCCTTCTTCCAGGTCAGCACCGGCATCAAGGTCGAATACAACCCCGAGAATGCCAACAACTCCAAGCTGGTCTCTGTCACCATCGGCGACGAGCCTCTCAACAACGACACTACCTACCAGATGGTCACTCTTGACTTCATCGCTGGTGGCGGTGACAACTTCTTCGAGCCATCAACCGACTTCATCACCCTGGACACTCAGGATGAGGTACTCACTTCTTACATCTTGAGCCAGACACCAGTAAACATCGAGCTCGATGGACGTATCGAGGAGGTCGACGGCCAGAGGGAGGACACTCCCGGAGCTGGTAACGGTACCAGCAACGGCACCTCACCCACGACTGGTGCACCGCCTCAGCAGACTGAGAACGCAGCTACACGCCTTGGTCAAGGCGCCGTTGGCGTTAGCGTCTTTGGTGTTCTTGCCGGACTGTTCATGCTATGAGCTTGGAGCGATCCAGAGGCACGGGGTGCATGATTCGATGTGAATGATATAATAAAACCATTAATGAAATATTTACTGTCATCAGATGCATCGCATTTTCACTCTTGTACAATCGTTTTCATCTTTCGTCAACTATTCGCTACCAGTAATGCAAGACAGCGAGCCACATGCGCCCGTACAGTACAAACCTCCGATGCGAGCGCACCAGAAAGCATAGTCTCGCTCCAGTCAGATCAACATGGAAGTGAATGACAGGGTCAGTAGGTCGTGTGCAAAGCACCTTCTGGCTACAATAGCTTTTGGTTGCTTTACCTAATCACGTTCGCTCAACAGAAACGCCTATCCAACTCAACTCCGATAGTCGCACTATACTCATCAAGGTATGCCTAGACGCGACAAGAAAAGCGAACTCAGAGTTGTCGTGGGGCGTCTGAGAGGAGTGAATGACATAAGAATCGGCACGCCGGCACACCCGCCTTCCTTCTTGCCACCCAATACCACTCCAGTCGCGAAACGCAAACCTAGCATCACGGAATACACATTTGAGCAATATCAAGCTGCCAATCTCAACGATGACGAGAAACACGCCGTCATCGGCAAGCTCCGCGGTGAGCTGCCCATCATTGATCGCGATGAGGTCGACGAGGTTCTTCTCCGTTCGATGGCACAGCAGCTTGATCTGGCGGTGTTCCCGACTTGCAAGATGATGCAGGTTGATCCGGCAGCGGTCAAGCGTATGCTAGATGACCAGTTTCGCAAGGCGTACGGAGCGGAGGTTGAGGCTAGCGTGACGAGGAAACTAGGGCTGTGCCGTGTTGAAGATGTTGAGCTGGCAGTGGCTGCGGAGAGGATACGTATCAGTACTAAGAAGAAGGGTAAGAGGCAGAAACTGGGGAAGAGTGAAGAGATGCTAGTAGAAGAGGAGGAAGACGCCGTTGCGACTGCACCATCTCCGCCGACCAAGGAGGTGAAGACGGCGCCAAAAAGCATTGAGAATGAGATCAAGGCCCATATCGCACGCCGGAAGCGAGCAAAGCAGGGGGTAAAGATGGTGATGCTGCGTTCGGAAGCTGTTTCGCAGGAATGGGAGAAGTTGAGTAATGCGACGTAGCATCATCTGCCCGAGCACCCAGGTAGCCGCCCATGATAATGATACCTTCGGGAGAAAAAGTTGGACTAGACAGTGGTTGTTGAATATCTTCATATACATCGCCATCCCCTCTCAATTTGTTGTGCGCCGTGTGGACATTCCAGTCGAGGCTAGTGCGCAATGGACGCTGATTTCTCTGTTTTAATGCTGAGCTTCCAAGCCAGTCGGATCCGGACGCGCTGCAGCACTAAGGTGGCCCACATTTGTACTCATTACTGAGTCGCTGTATACACGCTTAGGTATCATGTTTCAGCAAGTAAGTGCTATGCAAGATAATAACTACTTCTACCCCTACTTCTTTCTTTTGAAATGCGACATAAGATGTGGCCACCTAGTGCCAAGGTGTCGACGCGTGACGTCATGTCTGTGCTTTTTCGTCTCCGGATTATCCAAGACGCGTTCCTCCTCGCGTGATCCTCACCCACTTCATACCCCTACACACGGCTCAACACGCGGATCTGGAATCACATTAGACCTCACAAATGACGCATTGATTCGCCTATACGAAGTCCGACGTCCCCCTTCCTGCTTCGGCCATTGCACGGTACTGTGCAACGATGCGAACCTTGGAAGTCATGTCTATGCTCTTCACATCCGGAGACAGCGCGTCATTGACGGAGATATCACAATGACCGTGATGAACTGCACGGCGTGGTGCCCTTTTGGGCCATAGGAGGAAGCTCATCGTTCAATTTGCTATGTTTCAGCTATCGCTTGCTGCCGTGGTCATTCGCATCCACCATTTTCGGTATTTTACAAATACATCTGCTGAACTCAGTACGAAGCCGCTTGCTTGGAAAGAAAGTTCATGCCTTCGAGTCCACTGCCGCTGTCTGTCTAGTCTTCAAGCATAGCGTGTAGCAATCAGCTTGTGAGCTCTACAGTCGTCATCTGGCGTATGCGTTCCTTCAGCAACAGATGCGGCTGATCTAGTGCGAAGCTCGCGTGCGCAGCAAAGCTACAAACAGGGTGGGCTGGTGACATTGAAAAACAGCGACGAGCAAGCAGCCTTGATGGCATAAAACATGGCCAAGTTCTTGTCGAGATGTCTCCACCAGTCCACAGTCTCTTCTCACATCTGAAAATAGGCAGATGGCAACTATGGCAACCACAGCGACCTCTCCAGACAATGACCCGTCTATCAGCATCCCTTGGAATGTGCAACCACCAAGCCCTTCGGCCATCTGCAGGATCGACTACCCCATCACCGAGACGCCGGAAATTTTTGTGATTCCCATCAAAATACTTAGCGGCGGACGAAAGCTTCCTACAGCAAAACCTGTCAACAGCCAACGACTCAGGAAAGTGGCTATATCTGAATACGTGAAGAAGGCTTTCAAGCAGTACGAGCATCGCTATGCTGTTCAATTTCGAGCTGAGGCAGCTATAGTAGATGAGGCGGGGCTTCAAGAAGCTCCTGTCGATCACTTGCTCTTACTCAAGCTTCCAAGCGAAACGCGTGATCAGATGTCCGCCAAAATCCAGGAACAACGCAAGGGCAGAGTTCGCATCCAGACGAAGAAAGTTGTTGTCGAGACGAACGGCACACGCAGTAACGAGGAGATCAAGTGCATTATCGACGCAGAGGCCCTCGTTCTCGATGGGTTGGACCACAACACGGCCGCAGACTATTGGAAGAAGCTTGACATCCTACTACAAGCGTTTGTTCGCAATACTACGTTTGAGAAAGCGACGACCACGAAGAGCAAGGGCATTTTAATTCCAATCTCTTCCTCGAAGACTTTCTCACGAGACCCAGGACCTGGAGACGTCACCGAGACTCCTCCCGTCACATCTACGGAATCTGCCCCTGCAGTAGCCAACATCGCCTCGATCAAGTCTGCCAGCCATATCCAGGATGCGATCAAGGTCGACGGGTTCCTTCGCACATTGGTGAAGTTGGATCCAAACCTGAAGAAGCTGCATCTGGAGCTCGATCTCGTGCCTGGAGTCAAGGCGAACACTTCCTTAGCAGACATTGTTACGAGTGTCTTCGGGCGCGCGATTCAGGGACCGAGTGTTCATCATCATTTACCAACAATTCGAGCGATGCTCATAGGACTGGAAGTCGATCGTAACTACACTCCTCCTGCCGCGAACGGGCTTGAAGATACAGGCGAGGTGCAATCGTCGAACCTTAACAACAATGCATTCCCACAGTCTTCACCTAGATCAGGCTCTGGTGCTAGTTCACGGAAGGCTTCCAAGCCTCTTGGCGAGCTCAATTCAAGCGATGTCAACATGAAAAGGTCACCTACAGCGATGACTGCGAATACCGGCCACGTTCAGCACGATGATGCAGCCCGCTCCTGCCGCTATGTTGTTTCCGATATCCAACTGGCTGGCGATGTGCCTGACTTCGTTTGGAAAGATGGGAAGCGGTATTCCGTTGCCAAGTACTTCAGAGAGAGTAAGCGTTATCATCCGAAGTCCTCGTATCATGCTAACTTCCATGACAGAGATAAATGTCAAGATTGAGCGACACGATCTTCCACTGGCGAAAGTAGGGAACGACTCATGGGTGCCTCTCGAGATGCTCGTCACACACGGTACTCAGGCTTTACCTACCTCTACCCTCAGCCTCGGATTGCTCAACGACGTTCTCAAAGGCGACAACCTTCAGATGCAACATGAGAACTTTGCAGACTTTGCAGCAAGTGTTGTCACGCAGATGGGTTCCTTTGAGTCTTCAGTAAGATCAACTTCCCAATGTCAAAGAGTGGACTAACGAATCCATAGAAAGACTCAACTATCCCCGAGGGCTTCATGAACGTTCGTGTAGAGGACGGCACCGTCGTCACACTATTGCCCAAAGATTCGAAACCTCGCGCACATACAGCAAGAGATCCGTTGCCGCGGGCGACCGGATCGAAAGTCAAGATGGGCTTACTCTACGTCAAAGCGAAAAGCACGAAGCGGGAAGACGCCATAGACTTCATTGAAAAGGTCGCTGAGGCACTCTGCCTTCCTGGACAGAAACACAAGCATCATGGCGATCAAGCATTGCAGATCCTTCAATTCGACGAAGACTCACAGCCGCGCGTCTTGACAGCAGTCGTCTCGGATGTGAAGCCTCTAATACTGACAGACTGTCAGCAAGATGAAGCTGTAATGGCCATACGAGACAAAGGGCTTACGTCCATTCTTGCCATCATTGACGAGAAGGGTCGTAGCAAGCAGGAAGTACGCGCCGTCCGTGCTGAGCTGCACAAGTTTGGCAATCGAAAGGCTGGCGCAGCGACCCATTGCATGACTGCTCGAACACTCAAGGCACTACTCGACCGCAATAAGAACGTCCAAAATTACTTCCCGATCGGCACTCTTCGGCATCTCAACGGTATGCAAGGCGGTCGGAACTTCAACGTCGAACCGTTCATGTCTCTCTCTCAGAATGAGAACATGATGATAGTCGGTGCGCATGTTTCCCATCCAGCCTCTCACGCCTCCAAGAACTGCCCTTCGGTTGCTGCGGTGGTTGGCAGTTTCGATGCACAGTTTACGCAATATCCTGGATCCGCACGTATTCAGTCTACTATCCGCCGAGTTCAGGACAAGCAAGGCCACTTGAAGTACCACCTCGACCCGCAGATTCAAGACCTGCAGGAAATGATGGAAGAGCGCATTGCAGCATGGCAAACCAAGCATGCTGGAGGTTCTCCCCATATCATCTTCTACCGCGACGGCATGAACATTATGAAAGGGCAGTTCATTGATAGCGAGGTGCAGAGCATCATCACAGCTGAGGCTAAGGCTATTGTCAAGGCCATCGAAGCAAAAGCTCCGGGAGTTCGACCCTCGCTCAGCTACATTCTAATCAACAAACACTCCGTCGCCGGTGATGACTACGGGCGCAACGTTGAAGCATACCTAGCCGAGCAGAGCATCACCAGGTTCTCCCCTGCGTTGGATCACGCAATCAAGAGCAGATACGACTATCATATCATGCCCCAGGTGGAGAACTCAGTCCCAGTCCAAGTCGACTATGCGGCACTAGTAAGTCTGAAGAACGAGCATCTGAACTGATCAAAATACTGACATCGCACAGACTGAGTATCTCAACGTCAACTATCAGCTTTCCAATACAGCTATCCCTGCTATCGCACTACCAGTCCACTACGCCAAGAAACTTGCTCTCCGTGTGTTCGACTACTTCCATTACGCGATCACCAACAAATATGACGCTGTCTCCAGTGTTGTTCGTCGTGCGAAGCATCCCGCCGCAGAGGAGAATCTAAACGACGACCGCATGGTAGAGCTCACTCGCGCATATCTTCTCGCGGATGATGAGCTGAAAGACGCAGACGCCAAGACAGGTGATAACAGATCATCCTCAAAGGAGAAGGAGACGCCTCGCGCCAATCCTTGGCCGGAGTCTCTGGACGAGACCATGTTCTACCTCTGAGCATCTCAAGCCGGTGCGCAGTGGCAGAGGTCTGGCCTTCACCCCGCCTTCGCGAGTGCTACTTGGCTTTCGATCTTTTGTTCCCGATATCGAATCTTCCATGCCACTCTTCCGGGAGGCATATCACCCTCACTTCTTTCCTATGTTCGCGTATCCACCACCTCATTCGCTCCCCACCCCCCTCCTGCCCACACATTTCTTCCTTTCCTTTGTTGGCCTTGTCCTTTGCGATCTCTTACCGCCCCACACCCCCTTTCCCTGCCCACACCATGCCCGTTTTCCTTGGTCCGTCTCGATCCCTGTCTTGCGTTCTGATTTCCGCGCTGCTTCAACTGTTGGCCTCACACAGGTCCTCTAGTTAGTCACTCATTCAAAAAGAATACCAGTCACTCCTTTGAAAGCGCGTACGTCTTACCGTGATATGAGTTCTTGAGAGCCTCGCACAAGCCAATGCTGGCACTTGTAAGAGTCTTGGTGCGCTAAAACATGGTGTCATAAACTAATCTACCACCTTGTAGAAGAAGAAAACTAAACAGGTCTGCCGACTACATCAATACAAAAGCTTGCAAAGTAGGTGACCTAACGTCAACGTAGACTCTACGCTGTTCGGTTTTCTTCTAGGTTAGCATATCGAACTAATCTATTATGTAAGACCATGCCGAATGTCAAGCACATGTGGGTGTTATATTCGTGGTCCCTCCAGCGACGACGCCAGTGATTGATGTCACGATATGCTTGGGTCGGCTTAACGACTCCAAACAGCGACAGAACGGAGTTTATCCTAGTACAATCTCTTTCCACTTCATCGGTCTGCGACACGACTTGAACACGCCTTCTCGCTGGAGATAGCCAGATCCAATCCTCTCGGCGATATCCCCGTTCCACTCGATCATAATGACTCTGTACTTTTCGGATGGAATGTAAGAGCTGCTCCTCCACCGTTCGCAGCTCAGATCTCCCTCTTCGTAGATAAGGATGAACTCGTGACATGACCGAGGTGTCTCCACGTCTTCTAAAACGGGCTTACGGTCGAAATCGCAACTTCCGACTGGATTGCTCTCTGAGTCCAACAACTCGCCTCCCCTGCCTTCTGTATTGTGGCGAACCTCGTAACAAACCGAAACTGTCCAGAAATGCAGTAATGGCAACTTTGTGCGAGTCGCGAGCGGTGCCTGATCAAAGGAATGACGATATGACTTGGAAGGAAGGGTGTTGCATGGCAGTCCTGGAAATCTAGCCTCGTGTGCCTCAGTAGCGGAACTGACACCATCAGTAGGCCTTCCGCCGCAAAGCCACCGAGGTTCATGTGCAGTGTTTTGGTTGTTCCAGACGTAATAGACTATCCAGGTTGCATGCTTCAGGTATAGTTGCATAAGCTCCATCTCCGAGGCCTTGTGCACCCATTCTCGATGCTCATCGTCCGGATATCGCTTTGCGTCCCCATATAGATGTACATAATCAAGCCCTTCGCGGACGTAAGTCAAACGACCACTCCAACCAGCCCAGGTCCAGCTGGAAAATTCTTGACGTCGCTTTAGCCTAGAGCCCTGCCAAAAGAGGGCGTGGTCGAAGTAATCAACAGGCAAGCCCTGAAAGCATTCTCCAACGTCAATTCTCTTTAACACACCTGACAGAGCATCCAATACGTCTTCGCTCTTCGTAATGTTGAGTCGAGAGTATTTTGACAATGCCCATCGGTAATCAGTATGGGGCAGGTGGCCACGTAAACGTCGTTTGAGAGAAAAGGGAAATTCGGTCTTTTCCTTAGATACGCGCAGCCTATCCGACGCGTATCGTGACTCATATTCTTCTGGACCGTCTTCGGTGTAACTAGCCTCGTCGCATAGAAAGTAGACCTGATCATTGGGCGCGAAGATCAGTAGACGAGGTGCCAGCTGGAACTCTTGGAATCTATCTGCGTGAGCTGGTCTCCGATGTCTGTTGCTGTGGGCTTACATACGTCCACGCTCGCTTACAATACGTTGTCTTTCTAAAGAAGTACTCAACGTCGAAATGTGCTAGAAGCGTCACCTCCGGGGAGATCTCGCGGGTAACCTGTTTACAGTGGCGTTTGGTGCTAACGCCTCTAAGCGCGTCGTCGGCGCTATTGCATGTACCCGCAACGACGGTAAGTAGAGACCCAGAATAAATGTTGTCCATGTTGGAAATCGCCGCTTGCCTTACAGCAGCATCGTCGGATACGATACAAAGAGCATCTACCCAGAGGTACCTTTCGCCCAACTTTTCAACCAATATCATGGCATCGCGGATCGTGGCAGGAATGCATGCATCAGATAGACTATCTTCTCGTGAAAGCTCAAGAAGATTATCTTTTCTGAGCTGCACTTGAGTAGCATTTCCCCACACATAACTGAGAGCTATGTAGCGGCAGGTCTCGGGCGCGGGAACAAGACACTTGTGTAAGACGTCAATCACGAGAAGCCCCTCTTTCGAGATTTCGCTCTCCGCTGCTGATCGCTCTCGACAATGGGGGTGTTGGGTTTCGCAGCGTGCGATCCAATGTCGAATTAGATCGTAGTCCAGGAACGAAGGGGTTTGGGGAAGCAGGCGACTGAAGTAGGGGTATTTCGTAGTGTTCTCTGCAGCCGGTAAGATCCCACCAACCAAATCCAGGTCATCAAAATCCAGCGCAATCCGGGGCTGTATTCTTGACCCAGTATGTGTCTCCACCTCCGTGTAAGATCCGCTAATACAGATTGTGAGATCATCGTCAGTAGCGTTGCGAGATGTTCCGCGAAGAACAGTCGCTTCCAATAATTCCGAAGTGAGGTGACATATGTCGCATTCCAGCGGCTTCAGCGAAACGCCGCATTTGTGTCGGTGACATGGCTTCTCACCATCTGCGAGTGCAAAAAAGCTTTCGGGAGTGATCTCGAGTTGAGCGCATCTTTTACAGAACTTCATGATAACATATAGAGTAGAAACGAAGAAGAAAGGGGGGTGATGCCTCTGAAGAGCAATGAGGGGCAGTTTCGACCCCACCAAATTGCGGGCATGAGGCACAGCAAGACACCTACATCAGATCTAACTCTATCCATACATGATGGGCAGGGCATGCGTAGCCGCCAAAGGCGGCTCTGAAAGCTAAGCCCTCGAAACGACAATAACGTCTGAAAGTGGTTCAGCTGCTGAAGGGGAAGGCATCGTGAACGCTGACGAATGTATCCTGGGTCTACGACGACATGAAGATAACCGGTAGTAAGATATTGCCAGCCAACACGAAACAACTAGAGGTAAGGTCGATGAAGGGTGCATTGTTGGATGGTGTGAAGATTTGTCGCGGATGAGGAAAGCGCGAAGGCCACAGTGAGGCTGCGGCGGATGCTGCTAAGCCTCGCGCTATGACATCACCGACCCCTTTCACTCGTGCCACGAATCCCTCGAGAAATCACGCGCAAGGAGTTTGTTATGCACGCGCGAGTTGGGTATATCATGATAGTTAAATGGGAGACATGAAGAGCATCTATACTTGCAGTCGAACACTGCGGATCAAATTGCTGCGCTATTTAACTCCACGTGACTTCTAAAGACCATGCCCAGCATCGACGAAATAACAACAAAAGTCTAGCCAAAGCAATATCAATCTGAAAGCAACCGAACTCCAAATAGTACGTTCTCATCTTCATCGAACCCCGACAATACGCTCCCATTTCGCTCAGCTCAATGTCCCCTGGCGACTCCTCTCCACGCCTGCCGGCGCCGTGCCAATTTGGCTCACGAGCTCCGCTTCATCGGCCCGATTCAATTTAGAATCAAGCGCATCATCCAGACCAGTATTCCTCTTGCGCATCGGACTCGTCGCATCTGCCGCACTATCATCAACATCGAGTTCCTTTTCCTTGCGTCTGATCGTACCCATGCTTGCTACACTTGCATCGTCGCCATCGAACTTCTTCTTGGTCTCGCCCTCACTGTTTTGCACTTCGATGGTGACATCGGTGTTGTCTCTGCTGAAGACACGGAGACCGACGACACACACAGCGTTCCAGGGGTCGCGCTCGAACTCATCTTCTTCTTCGACGTAGGGGTACCGCGTGTTGTTGTTGTAGCCGACATAGCGCTGGCGTTCGGAGAACATGCGCGGAATGTCATCTTCATCGTCGGAGAGATCCGAGTCGAGCGAGCAGGGGCCATCGAGATCAGAATCCCAGGAGTCGTCGGATATATCGTCGGGCGAGTGCATTCCGTGCTGTGCGCGGTGGGAGTACTCGCTAGCACTTCGTCCGCGAGTGACCTGAATACCGGGTCGAATACCCGGGATGGGGGTTAGTGTGGCTCGTCGAACGCCAGTTGATGGTCGGTGCTCAGGACGTGGACTGTATGTCCTTTGACCGGGCGTTCCAGGGCGAAACTCATCAGTCAGAGGCGTGGGGACAGGCGTCGGCAATGGCGTAGGAATTGGCGAATCCGTCATCTGGCCTTCGTTGTACCCGTCGCGACCTTGGTATGTGCCAGGGAGTTCGACGTTGTAGCCACCGCGACCCTGAAGCTCTCCAGGCATGTTTTGATTGTAACCTCCGCGACCCTGGAGTTCTCCTGGCATATTCTGATTGTACCCACCTCTGCCTTGCAACTCGCCAGGCATGTTCTGGTTGTATCCTCCTCTACCCTGCAGCTCTCCAGGCATATTCTGATTGTAGCCTCCGCGCCCTTGAAAGCCCTGACTATGGGTCGCAGGAGAAGGTTGGGGACTGTGGTGGTATCCACCACGTCCCTGAAGGATTGCAGCTTCGGGGATCGCAGAGCCATGGCTGTCGCGATTGTAGCCGCCACGACCCTGCAATGCTCCGGGAAGCGATGCATTGTAACCATCACGACCTTTGTTGTATCCGCTCCGGCCGCTAAAACCGCCACCTGGACTAGCCGAGCGCTCACGGAGTGGGTCAAGGCTCGATGCACGATGGTGCCTGGAGACCGCTTGGTGAACAGGCTTAGCGTCTTCGTCGCCGGAAGTGCGGTTATCTTCCTCGACATTTATCCCAAGACCAGACAGGCTTTCGAGCTTCCTCTCGACTTCCGTCATATCGCCAGATCGATTGAGTTTGCGCGTTTCTTTCGCAGCTTTCTTCAGATCACGCAGCTCAGCCTTTTGGCGTAATCTCTTACGACGTTGATGAGCGTGCTTCATCTCGGCCTTCTTGCGCTCAACTTTCTCCTCTTTGTCACGTTTGGCCTTGTCTTTCTCTTGCTCCCGGAACTGTCCTTTGGCATGCGCGAGATCGTAAGACAGCCCGATCGAGAGCAGTTTCTCGCGCCGTTTGGTACAGGTCATCCGAATGACTTCATCAGGTGTCGGATTGTCAGGAATTCTGGTCGCTTTGATCTTGAGCAGGACGGTATAATTACCAGGCTCAAGATCCAGCTCGGTAGAGACAGAGCGCGTCATGTAGTACGTGCCGTTGCTGCGAACGATGTACTCTTCTTCGTCGTCTTTGTGGAGCCGGAACTGTAGGTTAAACTCATACTGACCTTCCAGACCTTGGTAGTAGCGATCATCAAGCTGGCTAAGCACGATGACTACGGGGCCGCCCTTCGCGAGATGTATCTTGAATTTGGTGTCGAGGTAGTCGACGCTCCACGGAACGTTGACACTTGTCCACTGCTGAGAAACCGTCCATTCCGGACCGAACAGTCGTGTACGGTCAAAATGCTGGTAGGTACGCAGAAGGTCCTTGTACGAGATCCAGAAGACACCGTCGTCCCCGAATTTGTGGTCGAGCTTCTTCATCCATTCCGGAGTCCATTCTTCTGAACCGTCGCTCCAGCGACCAGTCCACTCGGTGCGGCCCCAGGGGTTCCGAAGCTTCAGCAGGCGCTGGCCATCGATCTCGCGTGCTTCCATGACGGAGTATGCATGTTTCTCCTGGATACCTTTGCGAGCGCCGTAAATACCGCCCATCTGGCCACATCCGAAGAGAAACGTCTTATTGACGTTCATGAGCTCTTCGTGCCAGAACTTGTCCTTATCCAAGATGTCGGTTGCAAATATTTCAGACGTGACACCTCCAGTCAGGTCCTCGATGCCTTCGCCTACAAAGCCACCATTAATGGCACTGTAGTCGCCGTGTGCTTTGGCAAAAGCCTTTTCCAGCAGTGGCAGCCATGTTTCATTGGGATCGCTGCATTGCGCGAAGTACAGGGCCCTGGAACCGGTTTGCATGACAGTCCGGTATTCATCTTCGGGGCTTTTCCGGTTCTGAAGTTCCAACCAGTGGGAGCGCTCAAGTTTCGCTTCGTCAAAGTCCTCCTTGATGAGATATAGCTTGTCATCGATGACCTCGGATATCCATTCGCCATCTGAGATAAGTCAGCTTGTGAGCTACCCGACTATATAGTCATGTCTTTACCTCTGTGGAAGACAAATCCGTACACGCCGACCTGCTCATCGCGCGCAACGCACACCCGCTGTATCAATTCTTCCTTGTTCGAGATCGTCGCCAGTGCCGACATGAACCAGCAGTCACCGTCGTTGCCCTGTCGTACATCGTTTGCGGTGGCGCCTTCGATGAAAAATCGTGGTTCATCGAAGATGTCCTATGACGAGTTAGGCATGCGACGATAGTGGGGTGGTAATACATACCTCGACTCTCTTAACCGACAAAGGATGGAAGTCGGCATTCTCTTCATTGAGCCCAGTCAAGCAGTCGGCGGGAGTGTCTGGAATAAGCTGCGACCGTTTGAAGTCGGCCTCTATATCGAAATGTGGATCTCTGTATTTCTGGTTCAGTCGCCGGCACTCTTTGACGATCTTTGCGACCTTTCTGGTGCATGCTTCCTTGGCCTCCTCGTAGGATGCAAGCGCATTGACCCCGGGTATGGACCCTCTCGGCGCATGTGCGGCTGCACGTTTCGCATACAAATTGTCGGGTAAGATCGTAAAGATCTTACCGGGGTGTTTGGTCGTAAATTTGTTCCAGAACTCGTCGATGTTCCTCTGAGGAGCTTGTTTTCTGACCGGCAAGCGTGGCCGTAGCGCAGGAGCAGGCGTATCTTGAACCATGCTGGGCGCCCTAGAGTGTGGAGTGGTGATGTTGATGAAGTCGTTGTGAGTACCATTCGATGCCATTGTCAATTGTGTGCCGCGGCCCAAATGCTCAGGGGCTGGCTATGCTTCTTGGGGCGTACGGCGTCCATTGGGGGCTCAGTCGTTAATAAATGATTTGGGATGACGATGAAATTCTCAGCCCCCATCGAAGCTTCATACAGCTGCCATGTATGGTGTGGTATTTCGAGAGCCTGTAAGAAAAGAAGTGGGTCAGTCAGACACGAGGCGTTGCTCGGCGCTGCCGCAGGGCCCCCGCTCGCCATGCCGCTGCGAATCAGCTTGCCGCGGAGCTTCCGAACCCATGCTCGCGGCCGTCATCAAGCGGAGAGGCAGATACAACGGCGATCGGCTGCAGCTGCACTGGCCTGCGTCTTCAGCTGCAGACAAGGACCGACGACGAGTAAGAGTGTTGGGTTGGGACGCGACGCAGTAGGGAGGCTCTCGTTCTCTGGAAACGGCTCAGACGGCCAATGCGCGCAACTAGATTAGCCTGGGGGCGGCCGGCTAGCCTATTCTAGCTGACTACGGGTGGAAGCCTGACCGACTTCTTGTCTTGTCATATTACCAGTAAACGGTCATCTGGTGATGGTTTAGAGGTGAGCAACGTGTTCGCCGAATCTGCCTGCATATGGTGGTGGTGCTATGACGCCTCTCACATCTTGGTACCATCACCGTGCGGCGTTCGCGATGGTCTGATCAAGCGTTTCTTTGCAGACTGACAGGAGTAGCACCCAGACATGTGAAACGTTCCATCTGCGTGTTCAGCTCATGAGATGATAATTTTGGAGCTGTATGCCTACACCTATGGGTCATTTTGTATCCCGGTCCAGTTTACAGGAAGGGCAATGGACACGGGCGCAACACCAGCGAGGTTCGAGAACAGATTGATGCCGTACTAGGATCCACGCGAGGATGGATCCTGGCTAGAATGATTTCAGTGGGTGTTTGTGTATCTCTGCGCGCCCGAGGTGTGTGCCGACTCTCCATCGATAGGCAACTTTCCCCCGCGAGCGTGGGACATGCATCAGGTATCTCGGTTCCGAGCTGCCGGGCATGTCTCATTGCGTCCATGGTGCTGGAAACGACGCTGACTAACGCGCGCAGTGCCTGCATAGGTGCTGTAACGTTCAGCAAGGCTCACAATGAGTCGACAGGAGTAGCGGTAACGGCTGCGCGCTCGTCGAGCCGATGTCTCGATAGGGAAAAACGGCAGACGTAGCTCCCGGATGAAACAGTATCACCAACAATTGTCAGGTCTCCATGTCAGCCCTAGCACACAGCCCTACGAGCGATGCTGCGAGCGTCCTGCGATTTTGCAGGGATGCGATCTCACCGTAATTTCGACGCGCACAGCCAATCGCGTTGCGAAGCCACACCTGGTGTATGGATAACGATAAATTCCCTTGCGCCGGACACAAGGGCGACCGTCCAATCGCGAGTACGTTACTTGAGAGAACCAACCTCTTTCAATAAATCTATCGTGACGTCCGGGGATGCACAACTACGTAGGCTGACACTTTTTCCAGTAAACAATAAGGAGATACAAACTGCTGGCCAACTCGGGCCTTGACGCGACACTTGACGCTGTGACAATGCGAGGTCAGCTCGGGGTATGCAACACAGCTGGCAAATTGAGCGGTAAACACATCCCCCGAGTGTTGAGAACGTGTCGACCCCCGAAGGTTTAGCGAAGAACCCGATACCGATTTGGAATGTGAAGTAGCGTCAGGCTGAGTGCAAGGCTGAAGTGGTAAGATGTGGTGTGAGGCTTGGAACGTGTGCCGAACTCGGGATTCCGGCGCTTGCCGAAAGCACAGACGAAGGCTTTAGCTTGATGCCGTCATCAATCCCTTTGCTTGAGGCGCGTCCTGCTACCACAACCCTTTTACTCTATCGACATCACGGGAAGACGACATGAACAGCATCACCCAGTATCATGTCGGGCGGCTCAGTTACGAGCCTACACCTCGTAGCAGTCGACCTCTATCTCCGCTGCTTCTCATTCGTCGCCCTCTGAGCGGAGCCGCTATCCCTCTAGATTTCTAACGACTTTTGTCTAATTCCTGTTCAGCTATTCGCGAGCATTTACGGCAGTCTCGACAATGTTGCTTAGGAGGCCCCTCGATTGACTATAATTTTTGTAATTTCGGATTTCGATGCAGCATGCGATGTCCACCCAATCCTTCAAACCCGAAGAATAAAGCCTCATCGCTGCTTGACTAGATCACAGATACCCACCCCGCTTCTCGGTCGCCCAACTATCAATATATCGCCGTATGTAGTCATCATCATTGAACACGCTGATGCTATCCAGGTTTGCGTCGCCTACCATGAACTTGTTCCTCTTGCGGCTGTGTTGAGGTAGTCTCGAGCCTTCCCTATCACTTAATCTGCTTCCCGCGGGATTTGAGCTCCCAGTCGATGAATCAGATGCTATGGAACTAGTCTCTGATCCGAACCCACCGTCGGAGTCCAGCTCCAATACTGGCCATGGCTCGTATTTCCGGAAGCTATCCAGCCATCGAGAAATCTTTCTGCGGTCGACATTTGCTATCAACTTCTCAGCGTTTTCCGCGACCAATCTCTCCAGGTACTTCTCATCTCCACCCAAGTCGAACGCATTTTCCGCATATGGATCGATTCCAGCTGCTCTGGCTGCCGCTCTTCTAGCTTCTAGCTTATCCTCCGCGTCCTGTAATATCGTTGCATATTTACGTGTAAGCTGCACGAATTGCGGGCCGTACTCATCTTTCAGCTCTTCCGGGTCGCGATCGGGATTATCTCTACAGTAAAAGTCTAGCAAGGGCCCGTGGGTGCCCCGAGCGTCGTCATGCATCTGCCTAGCCGATTGGACCTTTGCTTCGAGGCCTGCAAGGTGTTGCACCCACTCGTCTTTTATATCAGCTAGTTCTTCCTCATACGTTCGCGGAGCCTGCGCCGGCATCTCGTTGGGCTCTGGTTCGGGTGACACCGCACCACAAGAGCTATCAGTGTTGGTATCTTCACCGTTATACACATCACTATCCCCATAGTATCGGGAGCGAATTCTGTGATGGAATCTGTAGTCGGCTGCGTTCCAGTCTCTCTCATCGTCATCTGATACAACTCCAGCATCTTCCAAGATCAGGCGGTGATAATGATCAAGATCCCACAAGCTGGTCCACCAAATGTGTTCTGCATCCCGCAGCCTGCTCTTAAGTCGCCGTTCGCGCGTCTTGAAGGCCCGATAATTATTCTGTGCGCGCTTGCGATAGTCCTTCACGGCTTTGAGACGAATTTGTTCGTCATAGTGGGGGAGGCGTGCAAGACGTAAATCCTTCTTGACCTGCTTGACCTCCGCAATGGCGCGTATGTACACTTGCCAAGCGGGTCGCGCCTCTTCGTTTATCGCATCTAGTTCCACATCAACTTGCTTTTTCGTTCTACGATACCGACGACCCTCATCAACAGCGTTGCGCATCGCATTGAGCAGTTCACGGGCGACCACGAGAGATAAGACGTTCTTCTGACCGTTGAAAGTCCGAGACAAGACGGAATCCCCCTCGGTGAAGATATCAGCATCTGGCGCAGTTTGACAAGTGTGCCATAGGTCGTATCCTGGACCGAGATCCGCGCAATCCTCGCAGGAGGATAAGCCGCAATGAGCGGCGTGGTAATCACCTGGATAACAACGCTGGCAGCCCGCCAACTGGCAATCGCAATGTTGAGAACCGTCTCTTGCTGTAGGGTGGGCCGTTGGCGCATGCGACTTGCCATTCACGTTGACTGCTGCTCTTGATCGACTGGGCTTCTCAGCGGATGTGTGTGACTTTTGTTTTGTCGTGTTGGACCTCTCGCCTGTTGCCATGGGGGACGTTGCATCTTGGGTGCTTCTACCCGATGCGTTAAGTAGATTCGCTTCTTTCAAGGTTTGGCGAAGTACAGATTTCTCTTCGCTGTACAACCTCCACAGTTCACTCCTGGAAGAGGTGGTATTAAGTTCTGATCGACGATTCGGGCGATGCGCGACTGGAAACAATCCAATTTGAGATCGTTGCCCATGGTTTCCAGGATATGGGATACGCTGCTGTCCAGATCTGGAACCTCGCAAGAAGTATGAGATACCTTTTCGTTTGGATGGCCGACACATACCGGGCATATGACCTATTGGGCTACAGTCTGCTTGATGGTGTCTACGTGTGAAGTGCTTGCCAAAGAGCAACGAGAAAAGCGAGAGAGTCACAAGCTGAACAAAGGGCTCATCAAAGCTCCAAGTGTGTGTGTGATGAACAAAGCCGATAATTCCAACCCTTGATTCCAAAAGCTATGACCACCCTTGTTCGCCACAACGGGCACTTCCTAGCGACAACAGGAGTGGTGAGAATGCGCCTAGCGTTCCGTTACTCGCACACTTTTGAACAGTCTCTCTTGGAATCTTTGCTTCCGCGTTTGAAAGTATCTGCGCAAATTGCGATGCGTTTTATCGCACACCCCTAGTGATGGACGAGTTAAGACATTTGTTCGTCATGAATGTACACAACACCAATCCAGTGGTCTTCTCTGTGATGTTTTGAGATTTTGAAAAGGCAGCAATCGAGCAAATTTTCTTCTCTATCCATTGGTAGTGGAAGAGTCATTAAAAGAAGATCATCATTCACTATATCGTGAAAAGGCGGTCGCCCTAAGCCCAAAACTGCGTCTCTAAACGAAGCTTCCACAGAATGAAGGGCCGCGGCTACAACGAGCGCTATGTTCCGGTCACGCCATTCACGAGCATACTTACTCAAGCGCTCCGCCCTTGTCTCTCTACCGAGGCTTCTCACTCGACACACCAGATTCGAGACCTCAACCTCAATCGACTCAACCAACAAGTTCGACATTCACAGATCACGAGGGAGTCAGGCAGCTGACGCCCCTCGCTAAACCATGACGAGCGGTCGTGGCGGAAAAGGTAAGATGGTGTCCATTCATTCTCACAACCATAGTTTAACGAGCCTCAGGGCAAGGCAGAGGCGGCAAAGCAGGGGGCGGCGCGGACGAAAACCGCCAGCAACGGTCAGATTACAACCGTGATGGACAATACAAACTGAGGAAGTACGATAGCTGGGTTCCCAACAATGAGAAGAACGATCAACCTAGAGGACGACCAAGGCCTCCGATGCTATTCGAGCGTAATGTTGGACGAGACCACCACCAAGATCGCCCGATATCAGCATATGGGGACTCACAGGCTGTTACCTCCATCGAACGCCACCGAGGACAAGATGATCGTAGTGATCATCGCCGCGGTGATCGAGAGCGTGAACGCCCGGCATCATCGGTCGAGCGTGATACCAGTCGCCCATACAACTCGGAACATGGAGTAATGGATCCAGAGACGCTTGCATCTACCGGCAGAACTCATCAAATCGTACATGCGGCTTCTGAGAATACCCAAGTCAAGTACAACGTTTCGAGCAATGGCGTGGATAGCTTCAGCGAACACACTGCCCTCCGCCGACATCGCTATCGTACTAGAGACAGTCGATCACTTTCAAACACTGTTTCCCATCAGGATCTATCCAGCATAAGTAAAGCGATTAGCGATAGCAACCTAGATCTTTACGAAACGCCTGACAAAAAGCATTCGAAGCGGGTAATCGGATACCAAGCAATCTACGAGGGAGAAGATCAAAAGATTACCCTTGCCCAACCGGACGATATAGAGATTGGTGATGTTGTTGAAATTCAAGAGACGGCACTTACCAGCGATCGAAACGCACACCTGGGCAATGGAAAGACCATAGCTTCATCAGCAGGCCTTCAAAGTTCGAAGAAGATGAGAATCGTTGTCACCGGCGGGACTGGAGAGCTACGAAATGGCTTCCGCATTACTAGCTGCAACGACAACTTCGTGGAGAAAATCAAGAACATGGGCCCTTCAGCATTGACAAGGTTTTTCCTGATGGAGGTATACGGACGACACGCACCCCCTAACCCACTCGGTCTCCCGACATTGCGCATCGAGTCTAGGGCACAGTGGCTTGAGGTCTCCGCCGCGGACACTGAGAACATCGTCAGTTTTCGTCCATATATAGGTATGCGGAATTTGGGCAATGCAGAGATCAGTGACGTAGTCACGGCCGTACTTGTGAAGAGCCAGCGAGATATTATGGGAGTAACAACATTGGCCCAAGCTTTCCAAGGCACACATCCTTACGGGCCGTTCCCCCGCCGCAACACACTGTCAACCCCAACAGTCGACCACGCAACGCCATCTACGGTATCGCAGACACAGACACAGTCTCGAACGATTACCTCCGCGTCCAACCCACCCACTGAGCCGCGAGCTCCGGTTAGGCGATCTGGTCGACTGGCAGGTCGAGGTCCAGATAATGCAGGTGGTCACAACGCAGGTCACCAGCAAGGTGCGATGGACCCCACATCACGGCCCGCTCCGCAGGTCAGAACACATGAACTCCCGCCTCGTCCATCAAACATAACGTACCAAGAACCTACGCAGAGCGCGGGTGATAAGCGCAAAAGGGACGACTCGGTATACGATTCCCAGGAGCGCGCCCCCGACCCATCCTCGTCTCCCTCTCATAGTCCGCAGTAGACTCTCTGGGCTACCATTGACATCTGTTTCTTCACGTACATCCGCATCTTCCTCATGTACAGCTTTGGCATTTTGACAAAGGTATCATGGTCTCTCCACACGGCCTCGCCTTTGTTGCAACACTAGCTCTTCTTGTTCCCATCACATGTCTTTGCAGACATCGCTCATCGATGTAATTGCATGCTTCATTAGTCGTAGCTGAAAGTCCCAGATCGACAATATCTCTGTGCATATTCTCTCTTGCGTATCCTCTGCGTCTCTTACTCGCTTCTCCGCGATACTACAGCATAACGACCCCGCCTGGTTGGAAGCATACTGGTCATTGTGTAGTCTTCCTGATCAAATTTCATTTTCTCCATCAATCACACCAGTGAGAGCGCTAGGCGCCATGAGCCATAGAAAAACTCATTAACACAGATGAACAGTGCCCAGTTAACGAATCCCTCGCACTCTCACACAGAAACCGGCAACTGTCTCCGCCGCGAGTAGCCAGCTTTCCATCATCTTCCCATCACCATCGCGCTGTAGTCTCCACAACGCCCCCTCCCCGATAGCAACAACAAATTCATTCATCTCACACAGCCATCGTGGGCTCTCATTCAGCCATATAGCCGCCCAGCTCGCCAGATGTACCAGCACATCATGTCCCAGTGACGCAAGTCCTGAGATCACCCACTCATACCGCTGCGACATGAATGCTCGTAGACCGTGAAACATTGCGGTGGTGACAGATGCGACCATGGGGAAGTGCGCATCAACCAGGGTGCATATGGTGTCGAGAGTGATGCGCGAGAAAATGTGTGCGTTGACGAGCAGGTTGACGAAGAGCTTGAATGTAGGTTCGTGTAGTAGGATGGCGATGAGGAGTACGAAGAGGATGATCTTACGGAACGTAAAGGCCATATTCGCGAGTCCAGCGTGGACACAGCTATCGGTAAAACGACGGCTTATCGAAACTGCTGGTGTTGATGATGCCGCTTGGGGGAGACGCTAGTCCTGGTCCGGCTACGCGCCTTGGCAGGTAGGCCGTCGGGAAGGTAGTACACCTGGGGGTTCCACGAGCTGCAGGTCGCTAACAGAGTATTTTCAATAGCACTCACTCGTAAATCGAATGCTCAGCACGGATCTGAACGCCCGCTGTACTAGTCAAAGTTTCCGGCGATCTAACGTGAATGTGACGATCACGTGACAGATTGTACTTTCACCGCATCGCACATCAATCGTCAGTTCGAAGACGGATTGGATCGCATACGTTATGAATGCGAAGAAATAATAAGGCAAAGTTCTGAGTGCTCCAATGATCTTTTGTTACAATTCTTCCACACTTCAACCGTAAAGGCAGCTACCGCTTGGTTTCCCTGTCTATCGTCGGCGCAGTGCAAGACAATTAAGAGCCACTACCACGTGTCAATAACGACTCGTTTTAGAGCTCATAATCAATGACAACTGGTACGTACGGAGTATTCGGGTTCGGCGCGCCTTTGACAAGCTTGAAGCCACCCGGTTGCAGGTATTGGAAGACCTGTTTCGGATCGTACTTCTTGGATATCTTCATCAGTCGTTGCTTGTTCTTCGCTCCGTAGCTGCCGATGGGGTCTTGGTATTCGGATGCGTAGTTAAGATACACAAAGTCGTTGTCCAGCTTCCTCCGCTTCGCTTCCGCTTTTACAAGTTTGATGATGTTGGCAATCACACTGTGAAACTTGGGCTCGTCTTCTTTGTTGTTCCAGGCAGCGTTTAAGTTGAGCACGAAGTACGGGCCGTTTGTTGGATCGATACCTAGAGCATTCCCGCCGTTCTTTTGCATGGCCTTGGTCGCGCTTTCGGTGATGGGCTGGATAGCCATGATGAGCAGGATCTTCTCGATGTCGGCGACGGTGGCTTCTTGCGTGTAGAACGTATCGACGATGAACTCGAGCAGTGATCTGTCCATCTTCAGACTAATGCCCCACCAGGTCTGGAAAGCACCAGGAGCAGGAGCACCCTGATTGAGGAGATCGGCCATGCCGGACATCTGGCGAAGGCCAGTCGTATCATCGATGGCAGTGATATTACCCCAACTCGAGAAGACAGGCGCGTTCGCAATAGGCTTCGCGTAGTGGAGGTTGGCGAAAGCCACCTTGCCGATCCCGGGCGCGCTTGCGAAAGTCTAGAGATGTTAGTTTTCCGTGTATGAGGATTCGGCTCAGCGCACTTACAACAATCTGGGCAGCATCTTCATCCTTGACAGAACCAGAGACTGTGAATTGATGGATCGCATCGAGTACCGC